ATGACTGGACATAATTTGCAGATGCACTACTAAGATATCAGCTTTAGAATCAGGTTTATTGCCAAGTAGGTTTACTCAAAACAAGGAATATAAACAACATAAACACAACAAGAATAATTAATCAAATAAAAAGGAAAATTATATTGCTATCTGCTATTTTTAAAATCGTTATAAAAAGAAATGTTTAAGGGAAATACATATATGAAAAAAGTAGGTACAATAAGTGATAATGTAGCCATTTGTACTGTAATTGTGATGATGCTCTTGACGTTCTCTGCAGAGCGCCCCCCTGGTTACGACAGAGTGAGGAACGCTGAGATCGGGAACAAAGACTTTGAACTGGATGTGTTGGAGGAGGCCTACACAACAGAGCACTGGCTGGTTAGGATATACAAGGTAAGATAACAACGTGTCCTCATGCTGTCCATTCAAATATCATCATCATCTCTGTCTATAAAGACTTTGCTTTGCTAAGATCAGATCTACTGACACATTTATTTGGGGCAATGAAGGAAGTAAGTGTTGAGCAGACATGACAGTGCTGAACAGAAGGGCATTTTTCACCAAAATAAACTTCAATATATTTAAGCTGCCACAATATATTTAATTGACCAGTCAGTAGACAAAAGACTAATCAAAACGTTTTCTGAAGTTGTTTTTAACGTTTAAGCAATGATGCCAAACATTTCATGATTTTGTGAGAATTTGCTACTTAAATTATAGTGAAACCAATTTCTTTGGACAAAGACAAAGCAAGAGCTGTGATGATGGCCCTTTTTTATTCAGAAGTCAATTACATGTCATCTATTCCAACAAATAATCTATTAATGGAAAATGAAAATAATTGCTGGAGCTCTACATTGTGGACATTTAAACTGAGATGTTAGTTATGCTTGGATTGTTCTTTATTTTATGAAGGTACTAGTAGATCTTTCTAACCCAAACTCTTGTGTTCCATGTTTCAGGTCAAAGATCTGGACAACCGAGGTCTTTCAAGGACATAAAACCTTGAGACGCAGAAAAGCCTTTTAGCACTGAACACCTTCCCCTGTGGTCTGCAGATGAGTGGAGAGAACGAATACTTTTTATACTTATTGTTTGGGGGAAGAAAATTGCATCAGAGATTTTTGATTTTTTTGTGGATGATTTTCTTTTCTTTTTTCTTTTGTTATAACGAAATGTCTCATCTGGGATCAGAGGGATCTGGTGTCAAAACGTCCAGGAAGTGTACTTTGCAATGAAGTGTTCAAAAGAAAGCAGTGTTCATTTAAGAACGCTTGAAATGGGTTTTTACAATGTGGTCAATTAAAGTGGGGTTAAATGTGATGGCTGGTGTTCATTTGTTCTCCCACACTTCTGCACAAAATACAGACTGATTTTGGAAATCGGTTTTAACTAGTTAGAACAGTTTATAAATCCAGGTTAACCTGACAAAAGTGCTGAAAGGATAAATGACATTATAGAAGTCACTAGTTAAGACTACACAGCATTATTTTATTACTGATTTACTTGCATGTCCTTTAACTCACTTTCCTGAATTACTCAATTCAGCCACTGTAGTTAGAAGCTCACTGCCCTCAAATTGAGGCTTTGACGATGCTTTTATAGAGTAAACAATACAGCAGAACTTTAAGATAAAGCATTCTTTTATTGCACTGCGTTTGGCAATCTGTCACATTTATTTTAAAAAGATGAACAAAGTGTTAGAGGATAGTAAATACATTCAGAATACAATAAAAAAAGAACAATGTTTTTTTAGTGATTGATAAAAAATATGAGTGTAAAGTGTCCATTAGCTTGAGTCCCACACAGCGCTCCTCACAGTCTGGGCTGGTCTGGCAGGTCTTCCAGCAGAGCGTGGTTCTTCCTGTAGATGTAGGCGTTGGAATCGCCGTCCAGCATCACCAGCTCCGCCAGCGAGGACACGCAGGGATCAGGATCCATCAGCATCGCCGGCAGCCGGGACGATTTCCGCTCGATGCGGCAGGAGCGGCGCACTGGTGTCAGGAACTTCAGATCTTTGATGTTGTTCTTTTTCTTGGATCTACTTTTGCTGGTCTCCTCTTGGATCGTCTTCTTGACACTGAACATTGGGATTTGAAGGAAATAAATGTGTGTTTTACAAGTGTAATCAGGGAAAACAAATTACTTGAACTCAATGTTAACAAAAAAATAGTTGTTTGAAAGGATCGGGCAAAAGAGATGGCTAGTATTGCAAATGAAACTTGATAGACTCACCTTTGCAGATATGGTGTGGTCTTCACACTGTACTTTATCATTGAAGCCCCCTCCCTCTCCGGTGTATTCTCTGTCACACATTGTACATCATCACTTTCTACTTCTTCCTCCGTCTCCACGCCATCACTTTCTTCTACTTGGTGCTTCACTTGCTCAACCTTTGGCTGCTTGCTAACATCCTCTGGCGTTCCCTTGTTCAGCTCCTCCTCTGGTTGGCTGTCCTCCATTTCAGAATCAGAGGACACATCTGTGACCAGTGAGGGCTCTAATGGAAACACAGAAATAACATGTTTGTTAAGGAAGAGTGAGTGGATAAATGATTTCTTTATTAAAAACTGACCATATCCCACTAATAATGTAACAGACTGTTGGTAAGCTTACCATGGCATTTAGAGGGAGTCCCCATGGCATCCAAAGCATCACACAGGTTCAGGACGATCTGTCAAAAATGAACCAAAGAAGTTAACATGGTTGATGACAGTGAAACATATTTTCAGTAACCACCACGCTGCCGGTTTTCTTACATCATCCACACTGCCCTGTGGGTCACCAGGCAGACCTGCATCAGAGTCCGCCAGCAGGTCCAGAGTGGTGTTCATGACAAGTGGAGTTCTGTCGTGTGTTGGCGCTGCTCCCTGTTTGTCTGCACAGTGAGCAGCAGAGTCCAGCTTGTGTTCCAGTCTGGGTTCAGGTTTGCTCTGTGCAGCTGGCTGATTCTTTGGTTTGAGATCAGCTGCAGGTTTTGCAGACACTTTGGTTTTAGAGAGTTCTGCTGTCACCCTGGCTGGTCTCTTGAAAGTCTTCCCCTTGGAGGCCATCCACTCGGCAAGTTTAGCTCTGCAGAGGGAACACACAAACATTTGAGCATGCACAGTAGCACTAAGGCAAGCATAACATGCGTATGTGGGAAATATGTTACCTTCTTTCCTCTGCAGTCTCCATGTTGAATCTGTACTGACTGAGGGTACTTGAGACAGGTGGTTTGTTGACCTTCTTGTCTGTCACTGAAATCTTTGAGTTCTGAGTGCTGGTCCCCTTTGTGGGAGCCACTTTGGTGTTTCTGGAGCTGGTGCTGGTTAGTGTTGCTGGGGCGGTCCTGGCAGGGGGACGAGCAGAGCGGAATCCTGCGGGGGGGCGGCTGAAGAGGGCAGGCTTGGAGACCTGAGCATGTCTATCCAACGCTGACTTGGAACTGGTCGGCACAGGTTTCTGCATGCTATACCCAGGCAGGTCAGCAACAGACTTGGATCTGCATTTCGTGATATTTCCCACCCTCTGGCCTTGTGTTTTGGGTGCGGATGGTTTAGTATCCAGCTCGTTAATGCTGGTAGTTGACTTCCAAATGGATCCAATTTTAGACTGGACGACTTTGCCTTTGTACATGCCGGGAGCAGACTTTGATGATGGCACAGCAGCTGGTGGCTTTGGAGCTTCTGCAACTATTTTATTGTGTCTCACAGCCTGATGGCTGAGATAGGCCCGGCTGTGTGTTTGTCGTGGTTTGACATCGGCAGCAGCTGTACCAGTTTTCTGCAGAGGCTTTACTTTCTGCGGGGCCTCACCAGATGTTGACTTTGTGTCCACCTTGGCTTTAAGAGGACCATGTTCTTCCAAGGTGTCATCTATTTTGTTGCTTTTCAGTTGGAAGGGAGTAACAGACGGTTTGTCGTTTCTGATGAAGGACTTGGATCCATAGGCAGGCTGAGCATTCTCTTTGTTTCCCTAATACAATTAAAAGCAAAGGAACATTAAGTAGGCTGATTTAATGTAATATTTATATTCATTAGCATTACAAAAATAGCTTACCTTCTTATTGGTGTGGTTTCGTGTAGAAATGGCAACGTTTTCCATCGTGAAGCTTCGATGTGGTCAATTCAATTGCGATTTCTGAAGGACGAACAAAGCAGTTAACGTTACCTGCACAAGCAGCAAGGTAACACCATCTAACGTGTTTTCCCTCAAAACTCTAACAGTCAAAGCTTTAGGACACATTTCACAGCATACATTACCTTATCCGTTTTTGGAAAATAATATATACAGCTTATCTACATTTGAAAATATTAGCTAGTAGTTGGGCGTTTCGCTAAACTGACCTAACGTTAGTTAGCTAACATTATGCACTGCACTTTCTGGAATACACGACGTTAATGCCAACGGTAGTTCGCTCGTTGTAACGTTGTCTATAACATTACCTATATTTAAGTATAGTTAGAAAGAAACGTTGACTTACCCTGTTCCGGCTTGTTGTTGTATTTGTTAATATACGAGGAGAAAGCCTATCCAAAACAGCACACCGAAAGATTCACTACAGTGTAATTTCAAAACAGGCTCGTGCACAACTGGCTCAATCTGGCTGCCTAAAAATATTGGATTTGATTTGGTGTTGCTGCGATGCAATTGGCCATACAAGTATCGCGAGACGAGGGGATTAACCAATAGGATGTCTCAAAACTAAGAACGAGAATTGAAGAATACTACATTCTTTCATCCCACTTCAAGTTTCCAACCCGTCGGTACGGTTTGAATGTTTGAAACTTTGAACGGTTTGAACACAAATAGAATTCCTCTCATACCAGTCCATGCAGATAGCTAGTTTCAGCGACACGCCCAATGCCCTAACAGTTTGGTGAAAAACAAAGAGCTATGGCCTCCATTAGGTATTGTTCATCATTAGAGAAATAATGTAAACAAAAGCAATTCTTTTCAGTAAACATTACACATTCACGTTCAGCGGTGATGCGGTATGAATACACTGTGACAGGTAAAAGTCCTACCTACTGTCAAGATGTTATTCAAGTACAAAAGTATTAGCATCAAAATATACTTAAAATACCAAAAGTAAAATAGTAATTGTGCAGATTGGTCCATTTCAGAATAATATATGTGATATGTTTTATAATTATTGATCGTTATCAAAGCTGCTAAAGGTGCAGCTGGTTTTAATTTGTATACAGCAGGGTAGCTTGTGAATTTACTCCAGGTGGAACTAAAGTCTGATTTAAGAATTGATTATATTTCACATCATTAATACAAATCTGCAAAGTAACTAAATATATTAAATAAATGTAGTGGAGTAAAAGTACACGATTTACTCAAGTATGCCTACTGTACTGAAGTACAGTACTTGAGTAAATCTACTAAATTACTTTACACCACTGTTTACGTTGCTATGATTTATTCACAAATCATGTACTTGTTTTTAAATAGCTGCACCTTCACTGTTTTAAGGAGATGAGGTATATATATAGGGCATAACCACATTAATAATTAAATTATATCATTATTTTCTGCAGTCTCCTAGAAAAATGCTCATGATTGTATGGTAATGATGATAACAGTAATATCATATTAATAATAACTTTGATAATCAAAAACATGAGTGTGTTATTAGTTACTAATTGAACTGTACTTCACAAATATAAATACTTTTGAAATATGGATGTGATGTAAACCTAGGATATGACCCATAACATGTGTGAACCATGATTTATAAACAGTCCATGGTGTGTAAACAAGAACATGTCATATGGCATGTCTTCAAATTTTGAAAGACTGCTGGGGATTATGGGGGGGGGAAAAGCGCCAAACCACGCCCTACACCAGGGGTACTCAAACTTTTTTGTTAAAGGTTCACTTGTGAAGGTCAATGGTCCGGATCAATGCCAGTAAAGTCCGTCCCCCCCCCAACCCCCGGAGCGGAGCAACGAAACTGAAATTAAGAAGCAGTTTCGATGCGCTATGCATGGGGCATGTTGCATGTTTCCCGACATGTTGTTGCAGTAATTAAAGGGTGTTTCATGTTGTCGTTGCTGTGGACCTTCTTAATCATTTATTTATTTATTTTTATGTTTACGTTTATTCTGGTTTGTTTTGTGTTTGTATCTTTTATTTTAAATGTATTTATTTATTTAATGTTTTGTGAGCTGAGCTGTGTGATTTTATATTTTATGTATCTCTCTGTACAGCAGTTTGGTCTGGAGATTTTAAAGTGCTATATAAATAAAGTTGGATTGGATTGGATTAATCTACTTTATTTGGGGGCCCCCTTCTGGTCCAAGCACTTGCCTTTCGGTAAACGGCGCCCCTGT